TCCCCTGGCAGGCGCGCTAACGCTGTGCAGTGTTTCCCCAGTTGACCACGTCTGCCCGGAGGCTGGGACCGGTCTCCTGGCCGCCTACGAGCAGTGGCGCGGGAGTGCCGACAGCCAGGCCTGCTGCGATTACGCCCTGCACGTCGACGTCCCTCGCTGGCACGAAAGCCTGAAGGAGGAGCTGGAAGCCCTGGTGAAGGACAAGGGTGAGGACCGCGAGGGCGGTGTTCGGGCGGTAACCCCACAACCCCCCTGCGCCGTAGTTACCGCGGTCCGGGCACGTAAGGAGGGTGCCGTGCGGGGAAGCCGTGGCGGCGGCTGCTGCTCTGCCGCAGTCCTCTCCCCCAGGGACAAGCGGGGTGCCTGGAGGGGACCGTGCTCCTTCGCCGCCGGGGTGTCACCTCCCCGCCCTTTGCCAGCCGGGAGAAGGGTGCGGACGGGGGTGCTGGCACCGCACTCGTACCGTGACGTCTTCTTTGGGGGCTCTGACTGCTGGGCGACGTACAGCCCGGTCATCGACACCCGCTTTGGAAACGAACGGAACGGTCTCGGGCACCCTGGGTCCGGCTGCCTGATGTACAGCAGAGGGTTTGAATAAAAGCCTTCAGGACGGGGCTTATCGAGTAAAACTGAGCTTTAGGCTTTCCGTAGAGGTTTCGTTTGTGCCTGTAATTCCCGCACATCCTGAAGTATCCACTGGACACGGCTTACTGGAAACCAGGGCACGCGTCAGGAATTCGTGCATTTCGTTACTGCTTATTTCCATGTTTGGAACTACATTTTGCTTTCAGATATGCTAATGCAGAGCTAAATGACTTCAGTGTAATTTGCAGTCTTGCAAGCAAAGGCTTAATTGGTCAATTAACATAGAAGTGTGCAGTGAACTTCCTATTAAAATGCAGAGTGGCTGAAGTAACGTAGCTATGCCAAACTTACACCAGGTATTTTTCATATGTACATTTGCACGAAATACAGTTTATTTGTAATTCGGTCGTAGTTTGGGATTAGTTGTTGCCTCTGGTCGTATAAAACACAGTAGCAGTTCTCCGGCTTTGACTCCGTGCTTCACGAATCGTCCTTACGTTCGACAGAGATGATAGAAATCAGGGTTGCGTGCGGTGCCGAACGCGACGTAGGGCCCGTCTGTTGCTGTCGCTAACTAGCAGGGCTCCGAGGAGCAGTGCCGTGGTGGTACAGAGGCTCCCCTCGGGCTGTGGTTTAGTCTCGGCTCTAACACACGAATTCAGAGACAGTTATCAGAAGGGAGTTGGGGATAAACCGCAAATTGAGGCCACCACTGGAGGGAAAACTCCGACTGGGAGGAACGCCTTTGATTCTGTGCGTTCGGAGCAAGTTACGGAGCGAACCTGAACTCGGGAGCGGGCTGGGGGCTTTCTGGGTTTGGTTCAAGTGCAGGCGGAGACGGGGGCGGGTTGGCTTTGGTGGCTCCCAGGCTTTGGCGTTCGGCTCTTGGGGCGACGTTTCCCATTTCGGCCCTGAGCCTTGCTTTGCTTTCAGTCTGACCCCTGCCAGCACAAACCCACCCGGTCGAACGCCCCCCGCTCGGCCCGTACCGGGTCGCTGAGCTCTCGGCCGGGACAGCAAACAGACGTGTCCTTTTCTTCTCTCAAGGTGTGAACTCCTTCCTGGTTTTTATGGCGTACAAAGACAAACTGCAGTGCACCGATGCCCAGGTAATAGAGCCAGCGTCCAGCGAAGGTCGTGGCCCACGCGCTGAGGGTGACCTGTGGTTTATCTGTCTGATGTTGGGCAACCCCCCGTCTCTTGGCAGATGTATGAAATATTCTGCACTATTCGAGACCTGGGGGCCATCGCCCAAGTGCATGCTGAGAACGGAGACATCATCGATGAGGTATTTATATTCATTTATTATTCGTTTATTATTATTACTTATATTCATTTATTATTACTTACATTCATTTATTATGAGTTTTTATATTCATTTAAATTAAAGGTTGACCAG